GTAAGACACCCCTATAAGCTTCAATTTGATATAGGGGTTTAGACATCTACAGTTTAAACCGGACATGCTACATCGCTTGCACGTAAGACACCCCTATAAGCTTCAATTTGATATAGGGGTTTAGACATCTACAGTTTAAACCGGACATGCTACATCGCTTGCACGTAAGACACCCCTATAAGCTTCAATTTGATATAGGGGTTTAGACATCTACAGTTTAAACCGGACATGCTACATCGCTTGCACGTAAGACACCCCTATAAGCTTCAATTTGATATAGGGGTTTAGACATCTACAGTTTAAACCGGACATGCTACATCGCTTGCACGTAAGACACCCCTATAAGCTTCAATTTGATATAGGGGTTTAGACATCTACAGTTTAAACCGGACATGCTACATCGCTTGCACGTAAGACACCCCTATAAGCTTCAATTTGATATAGGGGTTTAGACATCTACAGTTTAAACCGGACATGCTACATCGCTTGCACGTAAGACACCCCTATAAGCTTCAATTTGATATAGGGGTTTAGACATCTACAGTTTAAACCGGACATGCTACATCGCTTGCACGTAAGACACCCCTATAAGCTTCAATTTGATATAGGGGTTTAGACATCTACAGTTTAAACCGGACATGCTACATCGCTTGCACGTAAGACACCCCTATAAGCTTCAATTTGATATAGGGGTTTAGACATCTACAGTTTAAACCGGACATGCTACATCGCTTGCACGTAAGACACCCCTATAAGCTTCAATTTGATATAGGGGTTTAGACATCTACAGTTTAAACCGGACATGCTACATCGCTTGCACGTAAGACACCCCTATAAGCTTCAATTTGATATAGGGGTTTAGACATCTACAGTTTAAACCGGACATGCTACATCGCTTGCACGTAAGACACCCCTATAAGCTTCAATTTGATATAGGGGTTTAGACATCTACAGTTTAAACCGGACATGCTACATCGCTTGCACGTAAGACACCCCTATAAGCTTCAATTTGATATAGGGGTTTAGACATCTACAGTTTAAACCGGACATGCTACATCGCTTGCACGTAAGACACCCCTATAAGCTTCAATTTGATATAGGGGTTTAGACATCTACAGTTTAAACCGGACATGCTACATCGCTTGCACGTAAGACACCCCTATAAGCTTCAATTTGATATAGGGGTTTAGACATCTACAGTTTAAACCGGACATGCTACATCGCTTGCACGTAAGACACCCCTATAAGCTTCAATTTGATATAGGGGTTTAGACATCTACAGTTTAAACCGGACATGCTACATCGCTTGCACGTAAGACACCCCTATAAGCTTCAATTTGATATAGGGGTTTAGACATCTACAGTTTAAACCGGACATGCTACATCGCTTGCACGTAAGACACCCCTATAAGCTTCAATTTGATATAGGGGTTTAGACATCTACAGTTTAAACCGGACATGCTACATCGCTTGCACGTAAGACACCCCTATAAGCTTCAATTTGATATAGGGGTTTAGACATCTACAGTTTAAACCGGACATGCTACATCGCTTGCACGTAAGACACCCCTATAAGCTTCAATTTGATATAGGGGTTTAGACATCTACAGTTTAAACCGGACATGCTACATCGCTTGCACGTAAGACACCCCTATAAGCTTCAATTTGATATAGGGGTTTAGACATCTACAGTTTAAACCGGACATGCTACATCGCTTGCACGTAAGACACCCCTATAAGCTTCAATTTGATATAGGGGTTTAGACATCTACAGTTTAAACCGGACATGCTACATCGCTTGCACGTAAGACACCCCTATAAGCTTCAATTTGATATAGGGGTTTAGACATCTACAGTTTAAACCGGACATGCTACATCGCTTGCACGTAAGACACCCCTATAAGCTTCAATTTGATATAGGGGTTTAGACATCTACAGTTTAAACCGGACATGCTACATCGCTTCCACGCGAGATACCGGTAACCTTAATTTTGCCTTTTTCACATTCATAAAAGGGGCACTATTCCTCGTTTAGTTAAAGGTAGTTTTGCAGACAGCCAAAAATGACTCAAAATTTTGATTTTTCTCCTTCACGGGAGCCTGAGTGTAAATTTCTAAGGCCACTGTAGAACGCTTTTGAATGGATGCCCTTTGAGTGAAATTTAATTAACATATTTTGCTTCAAGAAGACCTGATTGGCCTCACGGATTCTCTGCTGTTCCCATACCTTAACAGTGACTGCACCAGCAATAATCCCATCCACTGTGGACTCAGCAAATGGGTCAAATGATTTATCAGCCCGACACATGAAGCTGGGCTTCAATATGTACCTGTAAGAGTGACAACATCAAGACAAAGTGACAATTTACAAAACTGTCCAAATTTTGTTTGTGTAATCCGGCAAGCACATTCCTCTGAGTTAAACGAAATTTAATAGGACTGTGTTCATTTGCTTAAGGTAAAATTTCTTCCTCCCACATCCTTAATTTAATGCACCAACATCCGCTTGCACCAACATCCACTTACCCACAACGGCCATTGTACTCAAATATTCCTTGGTTCAACATCATGGGCAAGTCTGTCGAAGAAAACAAGAAACAAATTTCTTTTATTTTAAAAGGATATTTCCAACAGACAAATAGGCAGACAAACACTCAAGAAAAATTCCTTTGCCAAGTTTCTCTTTTTTCATTGCCATGTTTTTCTTTTTTCATTGCTATTGTCCTCCTGAATTTGAAACGGATACTTTAGCAAAGTATAATTACTTATGATCCACTGCTTGACAATGGCAGTGACGAAGATGCAAACATCTTTTGCACTTTGACATTCAAATTACTAAACGCAATTTAGAGAAAAATTGAAGAAAGGTCGTGAAACTCGTTCCAACAAATGTAATGCATAAGCCACTAAAATAAAACTCATGCCTATACATGGAAACTGCATAAAAAACATTCCTATGATGTTTAAATAGTTTGCTTGCGACCAAGTTCTTGGAAAGAAGAAGAAAATTTAACTCACCTAAAGTTTGATAATTAAGGGCAACTAACTGACATCCTGCATTCCAAAAAATCTGCACAAGAAACAAAAACATCTGAGCACCCAGGTCTACTCTAAATGACATCAACATTGTCAGCTGCTTGAAAAAAATTTTTCTTTCATGTAAAATTTTCCCTTATTTACCTGGGGCATGTAATTGGCAGACCCAACTCTTGTCCCACTGGGATAAATTCTACTCAACTGACGCTTATTGTAACTGATTGAAGTTAAGAAGAACATCGTTTTAAAAGAAGCCTAAAATGTACCAATGAATAAAGAGTGTAAGTTTCCAAAGAAACCTTGGTGCTGCGCCAGTGGGAGTAACACGGTAATTTTGGTTTTATCAACTGAGTTGGATAATGTAACTTCAGCTTTGAAACTCTTTACTCTTTTACAGTGGATAATTTACGTTATCAACTCAGTTGATAAAACCATAATTACCTAACATATACCAACTGAATAATCTGTCAAATTATTCATTAAATCTGACTTAATCATCCTTCATTATTTTTACTATTATTATTATTATTATCAGCTGTAGCTAAAGGATACTTGACAAATTCCACAGGGCTTTCTTTTAGTAAGGCCGTTGCATTATTTTCCACAAAAGAGGACATCTCATAACTTCTGTTAAGCTCTGTCAAATGGATTTAAAAAAAATGTCATTTGTCAAATTTGAAAGTCAGTTCTTTATCCAAGTGTTTCTTTTGTCTGTAAGGATCAGTCAATATTTATTGCCTTAGGGATGGGGGGGGAGGGGAGGGGAGGGCACTTGAGAATATTACACTAACAGAGTATAAAGGGGGACTAAAAAAAAATTGACTGCCAATTAACTGCAAGAATAGGGACCTTAAGCAACCACGACGGTGACGGCAACGAGGACGTGGAAAAACAAGAGATCTAATTAATAATAATAATATAATAATAAGTAGATGCTTATAGGGCGCATTTCTAATCTCAATGGCATAATTGGCTAATTGGCATAACAATAGCTCAGAACGTGCGTTTTGAAACTTTGTACATTTCTTAGCCGTCCTATGCAAAACAACAACGTGAAATCACCAAAATTTGCGTCGTCTGCGAACCGAAACCGCGACGGCAAATTAATTTAATTTCCATTTGGAACTCAACGCTACTTCTATACGTCATGCTGAAGTTGAGCTGTGGCGCTGTACGAGACAGTAAGCTCACGCAGCCATTTTTGAAATTCTGACTAAGANAACTTCTGGGGCAACCTCTTCTTGATCTGCCTGCATTAATTTCAAAGGATAAAACAAACGTTAAATCAATAGAAAGGCAGAGGACAAGGATAACTTACCCTAATAAACTAGGCACCTTACATGTGTGAATGTAATTGATGATCAAGGAGACCAGTAATTGGTCATCGTTTGGAAGAAATAATCTCAGTAAAAGGGCAATAAGTGGTTGTTATTACACGACTTGGGCAGTCAGAGGGCCAATAACTATAATCAACCAATCAAAATGCTATATTGCCGGTCCAATATTTTCTAAGTATTGTACCGGGTACTGTCCCGAATGGTCCCGAATGATACCGCACTTGTGTCCCTTTGAACTTCAGTCGTATAATAAATCTCTTATTAACCAAGCTTGCTCGGGACCGTACTGGAAGAATATCGGCCCTCGGTCTTTTTTGTACGGACCTCGCTGCGCTCGGTCTGTACTGTCAAGACCTGAGGCCGATATTCTCCCAGTACGGCCCTCGCGCTTGGTTAATAAGATATATATAATAATAAATAATTCCAATTATTATTAATATTAATTTTCATAATATAAGAATTGAGCAGTTAGAAAGGATAATACAGTCACACAGTCATAAGAACTCAAGCATAAATGCATGCTATGAAATATTATGATAATTCTGTTTAGTTTTTTCAATTGTTTCTACTTTGTTTTTCACTTAACCTGCAATTCATCTCTGAATACTCTGTTTAATTTTTAGGAATATCTGTCTGTGTAATTTTTTGTTGTGGAATTCAGTCCAAAACACTATTTTCACAATTAACCCATTCACTCCCAGGAATGCATGATTTAACATGTAACTTCTCCCTATAATATCCATACATCATCCCGCAAACAGTTAATGAGAATTACAAGGAAATGTGTAGCAGCTATAGAGGAGAGAATTAACAATCAGTTTTTGGGAGTTAAAGAGTTAAATGAATCTGCAGCTGGTGTTAAATCAGTACTTCTTCTTTGTCGAAAATACAGTTTTTGTGCGGGATACCCGAGGTTTCTCTCACTCTTGTCATTGCCTTGTGTCTGTTAATACAATTGAGTGCATCCCACACACATGTACCCTTTGGGTACCTATTTTCCTCTTGCTAGCTCAACTCACTTTGCTTACATCCTCCTCAGTAATAACACTGCCACCATTCTCAGTAATCTCTCCATCAACCTTTTCCACCTTGCTGTCAGTGTTGATCACAGCGGTGCTGTCTATGGGGGCCTTGTCTACATCCACACCTAGCCAAGAAGGGTTATTCACATTACCAGAGTGTTCTCCATTTCTGAGGGTAATCAGTAAAATTTACTCTCTCTTATTACTGCCTAAAATCACTTGGAATTCTTCAAAATTCAACATGTAAAAAGGATTACTCTTCTGACTTGAAATAAAACAATGCAAAGGAAAGATTTTGTAAATAACAATATCACCTCTCATTAACTGAGAAAATTTTTCCTTTACATTTCAGGCCACGCTGAACAGCTAAATGACTGGCTAATGAAATTCGCTGGGTGAACATGAAATACCACAAATATTTATGGCAAAGTTATTGAAAAATGTCAAGCTCAGTGCAACAACACAAGATATTTAAGGATACCTTCTTCACGTTTACTTGGCCTTTTCTTGTTTTTAATTACAATCTTTCTTAAGAGTGCTTTTGGAGGTGGAAGGCTTTTCCCTTCTTCTAACTGTGAATCAAACAGAAAAAACAGAGACACGTGAGATGAGAAATATTTCCTGATTAAACCAACTAAGTGCAATGTAACTGTGGTTTAGTTAACCCTGTCATTTCCAGACGTGATTAACAGGTAACTTCTCCCTTTAAAAATCAAAGGATTATTCAGCAAACAGGGGATGAGAATTCTCAAACTTATCCCAGGTAGAAGTTGTTATCTTGGTCTGACACCACGTACCTGAAACTAATTTACAAGGAAATGTGAAGCATCAAAGAGGAAAGCTAGCAATCTGATCTTGAGAGTTTAAGGGTTGACAAGATGTACCAAAAAAGCTTTGTTTGAAAATCTAGATTCTATCATTAGCCAAAAAGTTTTTTCATTACACAGCAGAAATTTGAGAATTCCACCACTGCTGCAAGTGCTCTTTTTGAAAACTTTCTTATCATTTTACACAACTCTCCTACGACTAAATTTCTTGACGAAACCAGGGTCGAGGGAGGAAGTCTGTTACTAGAAAATTACATTACAAACCTATGAATTATAATAAGTCACACTTACAGGGAAATCATCTAAGGCTTTGTCAAGAAGCATTTCACCAAAGATGCTGACACAATATGCTGCCATCTTAGCCTGCTGCTTCGGACTGAAAAAAGCAAGAAAGTATGCAACTCTTATTTACAAAGAGATGATATGCAGTGTTAAATGACTGTCAAGTCTACTTCAAGGGAAATACTAGCTCAAGTTAAAGATTTTCTTCTACATAATATCATGCTTTGATCACTATAACATGCAATGATCTTGATAAGGGCCTCATTTAAACCAGCTATTTGCTGAACTGGGCTACCCTGTCTAAATATTCGTAATAAATAAATAAATAAATAAATAAATAAATAAATAAATAAATAAAGAAGCTGGCCTAGAATGTGTTTTACCTGCAATGATTCTCAAAGGAAAGAATAACGGGGTATTCTGATGTTTTGAAAGCACACTCTGCAATTGCCTCTATCACATCCTGTTATGAAACAGATGTAAAACAGAATGATTTCGAGTTTCTCAAACAAGTGTGGTAGAACCAACACAATACAATAGACATGAGAAAAACAATGAGAGCAAGACCCATTGCATTCACTGCAATATAGCTATCCCTATAATAATATCAATATTAGCACTGGACATTCCATGAGGTGGCTCTTCTTATCCACTGATTCCAAGTGGATCTGGAATTTGGAATATTGGTTTTTCTAGAGGAAAAAAACTAGAGGAGCCAGAGAAAAACCCTTAGAGTAAGGACGAGAAACAACAACAAACTAAACCCACATTGGTGCCAGGTCTCTGAATTAGACCTAGGCCACAAAGGTGGGAGGCAAGCACTCTTACCACTGCACCATCCCCTCTCTGAGTATTTACATCTCTAAGTATTTCCATGATACTAATTAATTGGTTTCCTCCATTCTTTGTTTACAAAAGCAGCTTGGCCACGGGGCTGGCATAGGGTACAGGACTCATTAAGATTGTATGTTCTTGTCCCTTTAACCTACTTCCTTCCAGTGGTGACCAAAAAGAAACTTCTCCTTATCACATTTCATTTTGTCAAGTAATAAGATAATAATGGAAAGAAAAATTTCAACTGGGGAGTATTTGTTTGATTTAAAACCAAATTCTTTGAGCTAAAATAATGAGAGAAGTATGGCAGACAAACTGGAGAATTGAGATATTGATAGTAAGAGCCCTTAAGTCAGTTTAGCATACCTTAAATGAGATCTGTGTACACATTGTCATTCCATGGGTGATGACAGGTTCTTGATCTTGGTCTTTTCCATCCCAACAGTCCAATTCTATACAGCGGCAACCAGCCAATAGCGCTTGTCTGTACATTTCTACTGATGATTTCCCAGTCAACTGGTGACCTAAGCAAAAGATTTCAAAATTCTCTATGACCTAGAGACTGCGGCCTCAGTTGTGCAAGGTAATGATAATTCAAGAAAAGTAATTTAAGCCTATAGTGGCCCATTCAGCTGGTGCTTATTCCTGGTTCCTTTGCAAAAACCAACTGAGAGTATTACTACCCCCTCCCCCAGGTTAGAGTGTCAGACTCGTAATCCGCCACTCCAGGGTTCGAGTCCCACCCTGACCACTGGATTTGTTTCATGGTAGCCCCGAGTTCAGATCCTTGGCCACGCTTGTAAATAGCCAACTGGTTTGCCTCCGGCTGTTAATGATGTTCTTAATGATGTTATGTTCAATTTAGATCATTTGTTTCATTTGTTTGCAAGGACCACAATGGAAACTACTGGTTCACCAGTAATTGCGTAATCCTATAAAAAAAAAAGAAAAAAAAAAAGAAGACTTATCCCCCTGCATTTCCAGGGCTCTACACTAACTTTTCAACTTAAACTTTTCACTCTCAAAAAGAGAGTGTTGGATACTCTTCAGTCTGTGGGTTTGCTTCATGGAAAGGTAAGTCTTGTCATTTGATTTTCAATGTAATCAGGGCTTGACACTAACTTTTCATCTTACTACCCAAGTGGCTGGTAACAACTTAGATGTTACAACAATTTCAGTTTGTTTAATAGCCAAACTGACTAGTGGAAATTAAAAAACCACTTGTTGAAACTGAATTTCTACTGGTCTGTAGCTAATTGGCTACTGTTAGTGTCAAGCCCTGATTTCAACAGGCTTCCCTGAAACTTTTCAGGTATCCATTTATGCTCCTGTGTGGAGAGAGGCGCTGCAAGAGTAAAGTGTTTTGTCTAAGAACACAACACAATGTCCCTGGCCAGGTTTCGAAACCCAAACCTATCAACCCACAGTCCATTGCACTAACCACTAGGCCACATATAGGCAGGAAGGGGAAGCTGTAGCACCCCCCCCACAAACAGAAATTTTGGGGGAGGGGCATAGCTCCCCCATGTTTTGGTTCTGAAAATATTGCTAATGCAGCATCAAAATGGGAAATATATTCAATCTTGCAATCTTTTCTCACATCCTTTTAGGACACTTGCAATTGGCAAAATAATGAAAAAAATTTTTTTGAACAGCTGCAGCCTGTGTTCAAATGATTCTCTATAAGAAATAAAAAATGATTAAATTTTGTCTGTGGTAACCCAATCAAATGCTTAGCTGAAAGATTTCAGACTGTGGTGGAAAAAAATGAAAGTAAGCCACAAATTGATTTCAGACACATTTGAAACTTTAAAGATTGCAAAGAGGTTTACCAAGGGCAATTTGGGAAATTTGAGTAGGGGTATGTGAATGCGACAGGGTGAAAGATAAGCCCCCCCCATGTTTCAAATTACGACACCATCTCTATCACAACATGCATCTTCCACCTCATAAAAAGGTGCATTTACCAAATGGAATGAGATAACTTTTAAAAATGCATAAGATTTTCAATAAGTTGCTCATGAAAATTAATAAGTTAGGATATATTTTAGAGGAGCTTTTCATTACCTGTTAGATATGTGTTGTGTGATGAATTGATAAAATAATGTGATAATGGCTGTGTCATGTCTTGATAACACGACAAGCGATCATGTATGATGATAAAATTATCATCGCTCATAAGATATCTTGTAAGTCCTTGAACAGAGAAGTGCCCTAAAGAAGAAAAGATTGAAATAAGAAATTCCTGCCAAAACAAATAATCTACAGTGCATGTAAGAGCACAGGCAAGCTTTGGAGCAACAACTTGCATCAAACTGCAACCAGTTTCTTTGCCATGGCAAATAAAATTAATTTGCAGTAAAAGAGAGGTGCCCTGTCCTAAGCGGTCATGTACACGGCTGTGACATTTCAGTTTTGTGGTGGTTATACTCTGAAGTTTCTGCCAGATAAACATTTACATAAATAATTTAGATACTCAAGGTTAAGGGTTTCAATAACAGCAGCAGCTAATGGTACAGCATGATAAGAGGCTGTGCCCAAAAGAAGGGTGTAAAGTGAAATCTATAAACATGAAAGCCCAATCACAGGCTAAACAGATGGTAGTGAGATGCATGTGTTATATGCAGTGGTGGGCTGCAGGTAGTTGTGCTGGGTTTTATTCATCAGAAACCCACTGCAAGTTATAGGGACATCTACTCACTATTTTATTACAGGGAGAAGATGGGGGGCAGAATCACAATTAAAAAAAAAAGAAAATATATATATATATATATATATGGAGTTTTGAATTTGTCTGTATGGAAAGTTACTGGACTACTTACTACATAAAAGTAAAGCTACTGACAAAATTAATAGTAATAATTATTATCATAACTTAATCTGCATCATTTCAAAATAAATATTGAAACAGTCAGATTACTGTGCTTACCCTTCTTTGCAAAGTCTCTGTTTGGTTCATGTTTTTCAATTATGGCTTGAGCTTTTTCACTCGTGCAGTAAGGAAAAAGGATTTCATTTAGGCGAGGATCTCTTTGTTCACTGTTGAGAAACTCCACAAGTTGCTCCACTGTCAGATAGGGCTTCTTCTTTGCACCACTGAGTCAATAAATACTCAATAATTACATAAGTACAGAAACAAGTCTCACATTTAACCCTTTACACCCTAACATCAGTATGCATATTCTCCATACTGTTCTCTATACATTTCCTTGGGTGCTGACAAGGAGAATTTGTTTAACAATCAAGAGCTTCTTTAGTTGGTGATCATTTCCTTTATTCTTGTGACCTTAATGTGTGATTCAGGGGTGATATTGTAACTAAGGAGAAATTAGATGTTAGTCACTCTTCCAAGTCAAAGGGTTAAGCTTATAATCTACAATGAGTGACAAAATGTAGTTGGCACACCTCCTGAAGTGGGCTGACTCAAAAACCCTCCACTTAACATAAGGAACAAAAATCTTGTATTTATTTAGTCATCCTTACTAAGTTACTTAAAAGTTCCCCCTTCCCCACAAACAATGTTGCAAAAACTATAAAAAGAAATCAGAGTTGCCATTTTATTAGCCATTTAACTCCCAATATCTTGCAGGTTAAAAGCAGGTTAAAATTACAAAAATCACTAAAGTAATAGTTGCATCGGCAGCTATCAGCTGATGTGGAATCTAATTGCCTACTCTACTCCAGGCACTACACACTTCCTTTAAAATTTGTTAGAAGAATTTGGCGTTAGATCAGAATATTACAACTTCTACCTGATAAGTGTAAGTATTCTTGTTACCTGTTTGCAGGATAATGTATGGATATTATAGGGAGAATTAAGCTTTCTATCAATCACTTGGGAGTTTAAGGGAGAGGGGAGACAAATGAGAATTGGTGCAAAAAAAAAAAGTATAGGTAGAGTGTGCCAGGACTTTTGCTACTCATTGTACATACTGAGCTGTCCCAGGAAGCTGAATACTTTTAAATACTGTTAATAATTCAATTATTATTAATAATAATTATTAAGCTTTTCAGAGACTCACATTTCAGCAAAGATGTTGTCAATATCTTTTCTGTCACATAGTCTGCTGTAGAATGCCCAGAATTCTTCAAAACTAAATTTATCAGGGGCAATGGTATCATTCTGGGAGAGAAGCAAAGCAATGCAAAAAAAAACAAAAACATTTAATTCAAACAAAAATCTATTATAAGTTAGAATTAATTAGGGAAGTAAGAATTTCATTATGATAGAAATCTAACAACAGAGCTACCATTTTCTTCCAAAATTGAAAATTGTTCTTGACTAATAGTGAATTTTTGAGCTGCTGAAGGTGTGAAGTGACATTACCAGGGCTCACCACTAAAGGTAGTAGAAATTCAGTTTTGGCTAGTAGTTTTCGATTTCCACTCACCAGTTTGGCTGAATAAACAAACTGAAATTGTTTACTAGCCACTTGGCTAGTAAGTTGAAAAGTTAGTGTCAAGCCCTGCTTACACTGAGAATCAAATAACAAGATGAAGACTTACTTTTCCATGAGGCAAACCCACAGACTGAAGAGTATCCAACACTCTCTTTTTATCTTCTTTACTAGAACTCACATATTTTAAAATACTGCAATTTAAAATGAAACACACTCAGTCGATTCAATCATTTCCAATTTATTTGTTCCAATCTGTATTCTGATCACTTGTCTACTTGATATTGTATTAATATTGTATTAATATTGTATTAATATTGTATTAATATTGTATTAATATTGTATTAATATTGTATTAATATTGTATTAATATTGTATTAATATTTTAAGGAGAAAGTACTTCTTGGTCACTGCTGGGTCTCTCATGAACTAGTAATAGTCAACTGACTATCTGTCTCCTGATGATGGTGAGAAACCTAGTATGCTAACATTTTTTCTTTAACTTACTAAAGCATGCTTACTACGGTAGACAGACTTACTTTTTTACTGGTATTTTTCCATCTCCACTTGTTTGGACACATATTTTAGAGTGGCTGTGAGTCAAATGAAATAAGAGATAAAACAGTGTATGTGAATTCTAAAGCGAATTTGTTTCAGATGTGCATTGGACCTTGCTGTGCCCGTAACAAAATACCACAACAAAAACAACTCTACTGGACTCTCACAAATTCCTAAAACAAAAACATTACTCCAGGACTGTGCAATTCTTTCTTAACATGTTTATTTTCTTGTTATAATGGAGGCCACTAATTTCGCAAAATGAAGATAATGCGAAACAGAGCTTTCAGAGTTTATCTGTAGCATGAAAAGGCAATTAGCGTAGCTACTTCTTCTCAATGGGTTTCCATACTATCTACTCATTTACTGAGTGGGTGGACTGGATGGAAATATTTTTGGCTTGAGATCATGGCCAAGAGCCAAACAATTATTTCTATTTGGCCCAACCAGACCAAGTCAACAAGCCTTTTATTACAATTTTATGTCCATTGTACTTTCTTCTTCTGTCTTTTTTCTTTCAGCTAGTTCACAACTGCTTTTTCTGGCCCCACCCACCCCATTTTGTATGGGGTAATAATATTAATAATAATTCATCATTCATAAGGTGCAAAATAACATTCAGATGTGATCTAATGCACTCAAACCCTTTTGCTGAGCCTTACATGTCATACTGCATTTTCTCAGGTCTCTCTGGCAGTTTTCTGGCACTTGCCAACTTGCACTCTTTGGAGGGGAGGGGTGCATGGGGACAAGAACTTGGAGATTTTAAACTTCCTTGCCACTGAACACAACACTATGACATGGCCAGGGTTTAAACCTCATGTCTTGCAAATTATATTTAGAGCTATAACTCAAATTACTACTTATTCAATTTGTGGACTTACAGTTTTTCAAGGAAGGAGATAGGTGAAGCATTTATAGCCAAGAGATTATGTGTTAAGCAAAACAAAGCATCTGCCCATTCACTTGCAGTGCTGACAGATCCTGGAGTCACAAAGTTCACATAGCAGAGATCTACCAAAGTTGACCCGTACACAATTGTAATAGTCTTGTCATGTAAAGTGTCTTCTTCAGATCCGCCAATTTTTAAAGAATCACGCAAGCTTTTATCCTGTTAATACAAAAAGAAAAAATATTACCAATAGACCCAGGGATTTCATATTAAAACGTTTACATAAATTATCGTTGGTACTATCAATGATGCCGCAAAGAAACGTCATTGCCATCAGTAACAGGGACCCTAGGCAAATGGCAAAAAAAATTCATTACACCCTTACACCAGAATGCATATTCTCTAAAGTGTTCTCCACTCATTTCTTGAAGTGCCTGTGAGGAGAATTTGTTTAGCAATCAAGAAATTCTTTAGTTGCATGATCACTTCCTTTATTCTTGCAACCTTAATGTGTAATTCAGGGGTGATAAAATAAATTCTACAATTCAAAATATGAATGTTTGTAGTAGAATGTCTGCATTAACACAATTCTTTCAAATGTCTTTTGATAGGGCTCTGCTAAACCAATCACATACTTTACCTAAAGGGTGCTTGAATCCTGCATGACTCAACAATTGCCAATAATAAGTAAAAAATCATTATCAATAATAATTATTGTAACTTTTGTATTCAATGACTTTATGAAACACAACCAAGACAAAAATGTAAATAGCACATTATGGCTGTGCTCTAAGAAAAATTGTGTAAAATAGAACAATGGTTTTTCATTTTCTGCTGTCCATAACCTGTTGGTGAACTGTCAAGTGGGAGCCTAGAGCTCTGAAATCTTGAAATTCAAGGTGCCCTACATAATGTTTTCTATGAAAAGAATAAGATTTCCAGCATAGTCACCCAACAGCAAAAGTAGGGTGCCAAGGGCCATAAGGCACTGCTAGACCCCTGCCATCTAGCTCTCTAGCTCTCCAGGCTGCAAGTGTCCTCAAGCATGACAAATAGTTTGAGACTTTAATTAAAAATTAAATGTGCTACAAACTTAGAAAATTTGGCAACCAGCATTCTACAATCATGTGGCAAGGTGTCAATATTTTTATTTCTTCATATTCTTTTAACACGAGATAGACATTTTTTTTTCATCCACCTGCTTAAATTTGATTTCTGGTGCTGATGTCACTGTAGTGAGACGTTGCATGTTAATCACTTCTGGAAGTTAAAGGATTAAGCTAACTAATGTCGAAGTTGATCGGAGAGAAGAGCCTTGCTTGTTGTGCAATATTCTCAAATCATAGGTGGTTCAAGTCTGTTCAATTTCTGTCAAAATGATCAACATCTAACATAGGAATTTCCTGTTTCTACACACTTTGCATTAAGTCAATTACTGACACAGTCACCTGATGATAGAGGAATTCATCATTTTTTATTTGACTGTTTGTTTTGTACTGAAAACAGTGTCTTGCAGATCAACTAAGAAAACAAAGAAAGATTTTAAAATTGTAAAAGCTGACATCAAAGTTCAGTAAAGGTGTCAGTGGCAAAAATGAAAAGCTAATTTAAGTGGATATTAGAAAAATTCATTATGTATTTGATTCAAAATGGAAAAATTATAAGCTGATATTGCAAAACTTATCTTAAACAGAGACAGTTTCTTCTAGAAATAAAAGGTTGCATGAGAAATGCCATCAGCTTAATAAGCCAATTAGTTTTAGCTTCATTCATCAAGATTAGGCTTATAGAGAAAAACATGAAATAATTCTGATAGGTATTTTGACAGATTCCTTTTTTATGTTAATTAGCACTTTAAAATCCTTAACAAAAACAATTCAAAATGCCCCAAGCACAAAATTTATTGAACCAATTTTTCACAAAAACATGTTTAGGATTTAGAATGATAACAGCCAGACTGTTTTCTTTGTTCTTTCATTTATACTGAACTCTCTAGTTGGGATTAAGAACTGTTTTACACCCTAACAGAAATTCCAGTGTTTAAAGATGATGTTTTCTATGGATGACTGATCATGTTTAAAACAAACAAAATATTTTGCTTGCGTGCAGTGATAAAGAAAGAGCTTCTGCAGTCACGTTTCTTACTTTAAAGAAATATCAGTTTTCGTAAAATGCTGTAGCAACATATTTTTCTACGGAAGAAATTTTAAAGAGCAGCAGAATTCTTGACAGCGTTTGTTCAACTCTTTTGGGGATGAGTGTACATCCACAACTACAGAAATTCGAATTGTATTTACATGGTTCACAGTTTAAACTTATGACAGCAAATATATATCTTGGAGAGCAACCTTTGAAGATTGTTAGACAAAAACCTGTGATGCACTTAAGATAAAAAAATATATATAGCCTGAGATTGCAAACAAGTTCAAATCTCAAAACAAAGAACAGCATTTTACCTTCGAAATGTTTTTAATTATATAATTTCTATATAATAGTGGTTCAGTTTTTCCTTAAAAACCAGTTTAAAATTAATAATTTTTTCTTTTTTAATATCAAACAAAAATTGTGATGGTTTGGCTAATACGACATGCACTTGTTAGGGAGTCTAACTGTTTGTCTTAGATGGATTGAAACTTTTTGACTGCATACTAAATGTCTTCCTTAGGCAGCAAGGCCAACTTGATGTGTCACCTACAAATTGAACTTTATGCCCTGCTGTAATTGGCTGGTATTCAACAGTTTTGATTGGTTCTTTGCACTACTCTCCTGTCATCATGCTTCTAGTTCAATTTATAACATAACCAAAGTAAAGCGTGCGCTCTGATTGGTCAATTTAGCATCCCCTCATTTGCCCATGGGTGTACCCTGCTGATGTGAGCAAATGCAAAGACTATTTTTCCGCGCGCGCTTGTTTTTTCTGGTCGCGTAAGATTTGTTAAATAAAAGGGAACTCTTTAGCTACAATGTATCAATGTTATGTTATAAATCAAATTGCAAACACCACAGCGTACACTATTGAGTTATGGATGCTCTTGGGAGGTTTGCTAAGCACTCAAGAAGCTAGAGTCGCTCTCAGCTATCGCCTCAAGTGACTCTTACACTTCTTTCGTGCTTAGCAACCTCCCGCGTGCATCCATAACTCAATAGTGTACACTGTGGTGTTTACCAAATGTTAAATAGTGTCCAAGCTTCTGAGATTTCCATCCATATCCATCATCTATGTTGATATTCTTGAGGTGCAGTCTCTTAGGTGGGGATGGGGGAAAGGGATGTGGTATGGGGGAGGGGTGTGGCATGGTGAGAGGGGTGTGGCTTGGGGGAAAAGGGGTGTGGCAGGGAGGAGAAGGGGTGTGGCATGGGGGGAAAGGGGTGTGGCATGGGAAAAGGAGTGTGGCATGGAGGAAAGGGGTGTAGCATAAGGGAAAGGGGTGTGACATGGGAGGGAGGGGTGTGGGGAGCAAGGAAGTGGTTAATTATGACCTAATTATGGGTACATCTTCTAATGAGAGTAACAATACATTTAGTAAGTAAGTAAGTAAAACTTTATTTACACAGGGTAGCCCACTCAGCTCAAGGCTAGTATCCATAGGGGCCCTGTTTCTTAAAAATAAATTACATCAAAACTCTCAATTATTTATATATATGACTAGGATTTTAAAACTACATAAACAGCCTAAGACTACAAAGCCAAAACACAATTAAGACCTATAAAATAGTAGATAAAATATCAAGTTAAGATAAAAAGAGATGTCTTGCTCGGTGGCAGAACGTTTGAATGGAGTTTATTAAAAATTTCTGCGCCAGTAAAAAGAAGGGTCCTTTTCCCAAAATTTTGTTTTACTTTTGGTAGGGATAGCCTCCTACTTTGCCTTGTGGAATAGTTGTGAATATTCGAAAATCTGGTGAAATATGATGAAAAGTAACTAGGAATTACTAATAAGTGAAGACAGAGAAAACGAGTGTAGCCTTGTGGTAATAGCATCTACTGTTCTGCATGAGGAACAGTGGGGACCCCAATCCACAGAGCAAGTGGTGTCTGATGTTTTGGTTTGCCCTAAATTGGCAGAGTTGTGTCTCAGCAGGTCGCTATCTCTGTGGTGCTGCTTGATTCTTTCCTACATATAAGATCTTCCAATCATTGATGTTGAATACCAGCCAATCACAGCTGAAGATAACCACTTATAATGTGTTGGACATTGAGTCTTCCTTGTATCATTAAAAACACTGTTTACTACTAAATGTACTGAGAAATGTGATCCAGATCTGAAGTTTTAATTACACGGTTTCAAATTTAAATCTGAGGTAATGAAGAACAGAAATTGACAGAACTAGTTTGAAAAATTCTAAAATAGGGTTAGAAAAAGAACATATGCAAAGTTCAGTTATAAGATGGATCTCCATTCTAGCCCTTTAACCCCTGAGTGTGACCAAATGACCTTGGCTTATCAAAATACTTTCAAGCTGACTAGATAATGGAAATAGTAATAATAATTAAAATAATATTAGCTATGACAATTTAGCAGTGGACTTTCCAAGGTGCTGCTCTTCTCCTCCACTATTTCCAAATCAAATTGGAATTTGGAATGTTGGTTTTCATGGAGGGAGAAAAACTGGATGACTATAAAAAAATCCTCAGAGCAAGGATGAGAACCAACAAGAAACTCAACCCACATGTGAAACTACGTCCAGGTCGACAAAAGAAGGAGGTGTGTGCTCTCACCGCTATGCCATCTCCACTTCCTAAAATGTATTGATAAAGGGAGACTACAGAAGGAGGGGTCTAGACTTTAAGCCCCCACCCAAAGTAAGTGTGGCCAAATCACCACTAGTTTCCACTTTTTATCTCTGGCATTAATTGGCAAGGAGGGGACTGCAAGTTAAGTTTAGGAGAGTGAAAGCAATGTAATCCCTGATTACTTCTAGAGCAGTTTTTACTTAAATTTTGAAATCTTAAACCCAAGTAATCACTGTGGCCAAATGAAGCAAATTTCAAGGTCGATATCATCATTAAGCTTTAACTTCCAGGAGTGACCAAGACAGTGTTTCTCCTTTCCACATCAATATGATATCAAGAAGTTAAGTGAGGAGAATCAAGAAAAAATATCAAAGAGGGGATTATTGGTCTATCCTATACCAAATTCTCCAAACCAACATCATAAGAATAAAGGCTGATAGTTTCGAAAGAAACTGTTTGGGGCTGCGTCGGTGGGAGTAACGAAATAATTTGGATATATCAACAAAGTTGAAATGGTAAATTGGCCACCCTAATGATTACAAAAGCTGACGTTTCGAACGTTAGCCCTTCGTCGGAGCGAAACTTGCATTCGCTCTGACGAAGGGCTAACGCTCGAAAATTACAACATCATAAGAACTGTAGAGGAGGCAGTAAGGAGAATTACTGACAAGATCTTGGGAGTGAAAGAGTTAAGCAATTAAAACTCCAAGTGAAAATAAGCAACCTGCTTGAAGCCTGGGAAAACACAAGTGTCCACATCAGGATTGGTTTCAGCTTTGAAGCTGATTGGCTGAGAGGGTGTCAGGAGTTTTCTGTACCAATCACAGGGCAAAGTCAAGCAAAGCAAAAGCAATCATGGATTTCTTTCAAAACTCGATTGAAAACTGCAGCTGTAGCACTGAATTTGAAGACTCTCCTTGATATAGGGCCTAATATAATTAAAATCCCCACATGTGGAGGTCCTTGAATTACTCAGAAATTGGCTAAACATATAATTCATAGTGCCACATTTGGCTTTACAGCTTGTGTTCTAAAAGAAAGTCTAGTATCGCAGATCTAGTTCCGAAGACATCATGTTTGTGAAGGTTATAATGACAAAATTAGCAGAATTTTAATTTACCAACAATAATTTCAGTATTACAGCATACAGTACAAAAGAAATTAATTAAAATAATAATAGTTGGCGAGCCAAAGTGCTTTGAATAAAAATAATTTGAAGAATGTAGCAATAAACTGACAGAAAAATTTCTGGGACTATATGTGTCCTAATAAAGTGCAGATTCATGTAAACTTGCTTGTAACCATGGGTTGAAAGGATAGGGGAGTTTTCGTTACACTCACTGCTTAAATCTTCAATCTATCTGTACACAAGAACAAAATTATGATTTAAAAATAATATACTTGTAAATCATTTCTCGTTTTACTATGAATTGGATGACAGCTTGGAGAAACTTATGTGATTCACCTACTGGGAGTTAGAAAATTAGCATTTAACTTCTAGCAGGTTTATCTTGGTGTGGTCTGGTTTGTGGCAAGCCTTGAAACCAAGAAAATGAAATATTCATATATCACAAAAGTCACACTTTAAATTTTCATACAAAAAAATGCTTCATTGATCAGGAGAAAGATATCACTGGTAATTAAAACCATTACTGGTTGCAACCCTGCATACAATCAATAAATAGTTGGATATTTTCTAGAATTTTCCTAACAGGAAGCCTTCAAGGATAAAAGCATGTTGTGTCCCTCAAAAATAAAGGTGTCTTCCCTGGGGCTAATGTGACTGGTTTCAAGTTGTGCAAAAATGGCTCATTACAGGTTCTCATTAAGAATAGAACTTTTAACATGCCTAGCCTTTCTTGATGTTCAAAAGATAAACATTTCACACCGTGAGCGTTATAATAATATTTGTAATCTACATTTTTTCAAAAATAAAAAGGATTACATGTTTAGCTCAATTCGATGTTCCTTGGTTTTCAAAGCAAAACTTGTACCTAAATAATTTTTTTTGGAAATGTAAACAAAATAAAGGCATTGTTAGCTTCTTTAATAATCCTTAAAAAAGGAACTAGTGATTTGCATATATATTGAGCAAATACGATTAAAATATTTTGCTTGACAACAAATCATAAAGCACTTATCGATCTGTAAGGTCAAGCAAGATGGCCACTTAAAAATCGAAAGTTTTACTGTAACAATGAAAAGATAAAACTGTCTGTTGGCGTTAAGTTGCTCTACGACGGTTACAATGCCTTAGCTGAGAAACACGTTTCTTCTATTCGAAATCAAGTCTTCAATCACATTTCAATTAAGCTAAAACTTGCAAATCATGTGGAGTTTTGGAATATTCCAAAAATAATAAGCGGGTCGTTACATAAAGAAAACTATTCGGGCGTAACATGGCTTTGAACTTGCAGTTTTAACAGTTTCATCCATTTGAGAGAATTATTTTATGATAGTTCCGTAAAGATATATTGCTAGGCGACCATAACAAAGGCCAGCCCTAAATAATTAAAAGCCTGCCTGTCTGTATTTTGTTAACACAAAAACCTGGATTCCAGAAACAAACTATATCTCGAGTCAAAACAAAAATTACACTCGACGAAAACTTTGCATCGAAAAATACAGTTTCCATTTGAAACCGCGTTAACGCTAGACTTAGAGTACAAAAAGATTTTAAATCAATGGATTAAGGCTTTGTACATGCGATGAAAACTACAGAGATTGAAATGAAACACTTCTGCGGTAGGGAAAAATATGTGCAAACTGTAAAGGCTAAAATTTGAAATTCTAAACGCAAATAAAAAGTTGAAATTAGCATTTAAAGAAGCTTTCGAAATTCACGGACTCGCGTAAAGATACTGACGTAGGTGATCGATGGAGGAATCATTGTTTATTTACAAAAGTGTTCTGAAGCAGATATTGTGAACAGAATCGATTCAAGTCGAGATTTTCATGGTACACAAATACACGACCTTATTAAGTTTGTAGAAGTAGTGCGCGTAAAATTTAAATATATCATCGATTCACTACGATACAAATTATTAATAGCCGTAAAAGCGAAAATCGTTTGTGTATTTATATTTAGCCGGGAGTAGTTTAACTAGACCCCAAAAACAAACCTTTGGAATTCTCGCTGATTTTCCTGTCCTTATATCCCGAATAGAAGTCAACTCCAAAAGATCGGTCTCCTGTACATAAAAGGAAAGATTTAACTGAACGGAGAGCTGTCTAAACGAAGCATAGCTATAAAGATACCATCATAGCAATAAATTCGGTACTTGTCAGTGAAAACATCAGCGGCTCGAGAACCGCCATTCGGGCGACCTCACTCGATTTTCATAAACAATCTGGATAACTAGATGAAAAAGCTGGCTGCAGCCAGCACGTGCATTCTCTAAGACTAGAAACTTTCCTTTACAAGCTTGCACTCGGGATATCATTGCACATTGGTTTATTTTAAGAACGCTCACCTTATCTTCGGCTCTCCAATAAATTAAATGGGCCGCCGTGTCTACCTTGACCGTACATTGCAGTCCTACCGTGGAGTCCTGTTTTGAGAAGCAAAAAAGTTCCACGAATATTTTATAAAACAGCATCCGTCAGAGGAAGTGAAGCCCTGAGTCAATGCTTTCGACAGCGCCAGATTCGCAACACAATTCGACAATTCGCCCTACTTCCTGTGTAATAGAATGGTGATATTTCGACCAAAAAAATACGAAACCAGGAAAGTTTCTAATATGCCGAGGCACCTGGAAAGGTATCGGCTTAATGTTAGATTACTTCTAGTCCCTTTTAATATTTCCCATTGAAATTGGAGATCGAAGGAACAACATTCCAAAATAAACGATAGCGTGACTAATAAAACACAATCTCTTGAACAAAGTGGACATCAAACCCTTTCAGCGCACCTCGTCCCATTTTATGAACCTTGCCCCTCGTATCAAAAAATCCGCGACTTCGGGATGTGTGAGCCTTTCCAGTACGGCTTCACCGCCCGCCATGTTTTAAGCTAAATTCAAAACACTGACGGCTTTAGGCGAATTACTGCGAGGCCAGTAGTGCTCTCTGATTGGTCAAGCCGTCAATCGCCAACAATGCGTTTGTAGAACTTCCAAACTTCCTACACAGACAGGGGTAAAAGCGACAAAATTGCTCAGCATTTCTTCATTTCGCTTCTTTCCTTGGCGATCATGCCATGCTCAGGGCGATTGTTATTTATAAACAAAGAAAACATCAAGTTGTTGATAGGGAAAAGATTTACAAGCGATCGACCCTTTAATAGAAGCGCTGGCAATGAACCGAAACCCACACATGCAATATAATATATCACCAAGGGTTTGTTTACATTCGAAAAAAGATTATTATTATCGTAAATATACAAGGGTGGCACTAAAACATTCGACGCCAGTCTCATAAAACCAAAAAAATGTGCGCCTCAAGAATTCTCAACCGAGCTTTCGTCTAGGGAAAGTCTTGTTTTAAAATGTGACGCAAAGGACACAACAGAGCGGATAGTGCTGAACAAATATAGCACCTTATTTACAAGTTAGCGGGTCGAGGAAATTGTTCGAGTTTCAGTGATCCGGCCAAGAGGGTTTAAAATGACTTAAGTTTACACTTTTGTTAAATTTCATTAGAAATTCGATTAACAATTCAGCTCAAAATGCTGCCGTATTTTAACTGTAATAAGCGCGCACAATCAGTTTAAACGCTGGAAAATAAGTTCTCTTGCTAATAAAAGGAACAAAATAAGGATATACTTCCTCTAGTTTCAAGTAGCTCATAGATTAATCACACTCTGAGCCGTTTGTTCCCTAATGAAAATAACAGCTTTTACGATAAAGCGTTCTACACCTACGAGGTTAAAATCTATTTTCTTTCCTCGGAACTCGAATAAATTTCAGTTAATACATTTTCTGACGAATTGATTCGCTTTTTCACCCACTGAAAATATCGAGAAAGGAAATATGAGGTCGCTAATTGAAGAAAAATGGTTTTAAAAACTACATCTATTAGTATATTCATAATCGAGAAAGATCGTGGGACACATAAATGCTAATTATGAAGAATACCCAGTCACTGCATAATTCAGAAGGATGAAAACAAGAAAGAAGTTTGAAATATGGCGGCTCCGAAGAAAAACACCTGCTCTGAAAAAAAGAAATTATTAGAGACGGCTTATCATCTACAAACTATCGAAATCTTTATGTCACGAAGGCGGCAAACAAAGACTTATCAAAAGAATCTCTGAGAAATATCACCAAACCACTTATTTGGACAAAAAACTGCAAAAAACTTTCAAAGAAGTTTCTTGTAATAAATGATCTTTCTTATTAGTAATTCATGGAATATCTGAATGTCAAAAATAATTTTTTCAGCTAACTACTGTCACCTGTTACGACTTACTTCTTGTACAACCAATCCAGATATTCTTCAATAATTATATCATTAATTCAATCAAAAAATCATGCTAAAAATATCCTAAAATGTTATTTGAAGAACATTCTTTTTTTTATTTCATTCTTTTTATTTGGTTAAAGGTTGGGTCAAACTTCAACCCAACTTATAACTGCAAGCAAAGAGAGAAGGTTATTATACTACTTGGCAATGCTAAATTAATTTTCATTTCAAAATCTTGCACTCAGATATTTTTTTAATTTGTAATTTATAGTATAAAATATTATTCCTTGAGCACAATACATTTTACTTGTCAAAATAAAAGTCATATATTGTTCATATTTAAATGCAAAATATGAGTGGGAGCTAAATTTACTTATTCAATTTCATTTTCATGTAGACAATAGAAATACGATTAATTTTTCCTGAAAGCAAGACATAAAATCATATCCTAAAAGGTACTTTTAATAATCACTGATTACTTAGTTTTCCATTGAACTTCTTTAAAAACGAATAAAACAAAATAAAATTTCCAGTCTCTCCACATAGTTTAAAATGTATACGTATCTTTTTTCCTTAATATTTCAGTCACCAGGAAAAAGCATAAAAAAAAAAAACCCAGCATTGTCTTTGGACAATCCAGTGACACCTCATTCATTGAAACTGGACAACCAGGGAAAAAAGGGAAATTTTTTGCAAAGGAAAACAACAGAACACTAACAAAATTTTATGCAAATGTTAATCTCAGTTATACCTTAAGGCTTGCTACAAGGCTACTCATTTAGCTAAAAAAAGCTTTTTTCTCCTTGAAAGGATAATTGAAACAGTCACATTTTAAATTGCTGAGTGCTACTTAGGATTAAGCTGTGAATAATTCATTTTCTTTCAGACAGCGATGAAGGGAATTTTATTCTTTATCTATAATGGAAGACAGTGACAGATCACAACCTAAAATTCATTTGAATAATATCTTTTTATAATTTGAATTTAGGAACCTGCTTAAAATGAATAAAACAAATATAAGATTTTCAAGTATCTCCATTACCTTCCACATTGAAATGTTAATTATATATCAGACAAAAGGAAGATTTCCGTTCATATTAAGGAGCATTCTCCAGCTAATATAAATTTAGATGACCTGTGCTACTTTTTTATTAAGACTTGAAGAATTTGTTCTCCTTATTAGTATTAGTAGTATACTTATTGGTATATACCACGCAGGTGAAGAGTGCTTTTCAAGCATGCTGATTGGCCGGTTTGGAAGTAATATTCAGAGAGAAAAGAACTAATGTTTTTCCTTTCTGATTAGTAATATTAAAACAATTATTCACGGCACTATGAAATCTATTATTTTGTTTACCCTTAAACTCCCATGAGTGACCACGACAGAATTTGTCCTTTCAATATCAACACAATATGAAGCTGACAAGTGACGAGAACAAAGGAAAAGATCAATTAGGGATGACTAGTTGATCCAATACCCAAATTCTCTGAACTAATATCATAAGAATTGTATAGCAGACCGTAAGGGGAATAACCAGTCTGATCTTGGGAGTGAAAGAACTAAGTGTAGTACAAGTATTAGTGACTGCTGTTTTGACAACCCAACAGCGCTAGTCATTATCAGAGTGGAATGAAGAGCTGTCGATAGTCAGGTGTTGTAGATGTATGTCCAGTTTGTGTAAACTGGTTAACCTTTTGACCTCTAAAAGAGACTAGCATCTAATTTCTCTGTCAGAATCGTAAACCTGTGGAATAAATTACCTAAATACGTAGCTGAAGCAGAATCTCTGTGAACATTTAAGACCAAAGTCAAGAATTACCTTTTTAAATAATATTGTAAATAGTTTTTATAGAAGTATTGTATATAGTTAAATCGCAACTCAATGTTCTTATATTTTGTATATTTATATAGAAGTTTAACAAGATGATTATTTTGGAAACAGCCTCAATAGGGCTAACCTCTGGTGTCTCCCTTTCTTTCAAATTATTTATTTTGTGATTTGATTGAATAAAGTATTATTATTATAATCATTATTATTATTATTATTATTATTATTAATATCACCCTTGAATCAAACATTAAGGTCATGAGGGTAAAGGAAATGATCACCAACTAAACAAGCTCTTGCTTGTTAAACAAAATTAATTCTCCTTGTTCCCACCCCAGGAAATGTATAGAGAACGGTATAGAGAATATACATGCTGATGTGAGAGTGTAAAGTGTTAATTAGTTGTCTGTAATTTTATTGGGTGTAAGACCTCACTGTCATATCAAGATAGCAAGTATAATTCTACTCACAACTACATCTGGGACCCACTTCTTGAATATCCTGGTAGCTTAACGGGCCCAAAGCCATGTTTTAAACTCAAAATTTAAAGGATAGGAAAGCAGGTTCTGGCACCCAAACCAGTCCTCTTTGTTTCTTTAGCTGATAGTTTTATGTTATCATTTTCAAAACTTTTGAAATCCCCATCTTGAATGAATATAGAACAGCTTTATGGGCCCATTAAGTTACCGGAACTTTTGAGAAATGGACCCCGTGTATGAGAATACTAGATGCTCATTAGTCATTGTAGATCAAAAATTATTGGTAACATGTACAGAATTCCCTAGCTAAGTTTTTGATTTGCTGTGAAACTTTTATGTAGGATCGTATCCTTTTAGGCTTTAATGAGAAATCCTTACAAACAACTTTCCCTCATTAGCACCCAAGACCTCCTTTCAGAGTTGCCAAGGCTGTGCTCTTGGGAAAATTGAATGGTTTCGCTCCAACGAAGGGCTAACGCTCGAAACATCAGCTTTTGTAATCGTTACAGTGGCCAATTTACCATTTCAACTTTGTTGATATATCCAAAATTGTTTCGTTACCCCCACTGATGCAGCCCCAAACAGTTTCTTTAGAAACTATCAGCCTTTATAATATTGAATGGAGCCCATTACTCTGAAACTGTGAACTCCAGGGTGCCCAGCATATGCTTTGTATGAAAAAACTAAAATTCCTGAGTCGCCTAAGAGTAAAAGTAAGGCGCCAGGAGCCAGCAGGCCCTGCTAGACCACAGCCTTGGTTGCTGCTCAAAACTGTTATCATTACACGTTTTTAACAGCAAGAGAAGCACAAGGAACTGGGAGACCAACGGACTCCTGTCTACTATCTGCAAGTGCTGCTGGCATAAGGAAATGGATGTCTACTCCTCTCTCAAGAGTGGGAGACACAGTCACCTTAGGATTAACATGCTAGGCTATACTGCGAGAGGTCTAAGTTCAAGACCTGACTAGATTGTTGTGTTGTGTTCTTGGGGATGATACTTTACTCTCTCTCAGTGACTCTCTCCACCCTGGAGTTTACATGGGTAGCTGTAAATTTTAAGGGAACCCTTAAGAGGAGGGGGGGGAGGAGGTGCAGGTACAGGTTAACCTGCAATGGACCAGCATCCCATACAAGGGAAGTTCTAATACCTTTTATCTCTTTAGGAAGTGGGATGGGGCCAATTACCCCCCTTGCAGACCTGACCTCTCTTTGTTACCTTCAATGATGGTGCCAAATGGATAACAAGGATCCTTAGATGGCACACTTAACCCTTTACAGCCTAACATCAGTATGCATATTCTCCATACTATTCTCTATACATTTCCTAAGATGCTGACAAGGAGAATTTGTTTAACAATCAAAAGTTTCTTTAGTTGGGGATCCTTTCACATATTCTTGTGACCTTAATGAATGTGTGATTCAGGGGTGATATTATAAGAAGAAATTAGGTGCTAGACAATTTGAGATGCTGAAAACTTGAAAATTCTGTCAATAATTCAATTATTATAATTATTAAGCTTTCCAGAGGCTTAAATTTCGGCAAAGATGTTGTCAATATCTTAATTCATTTTGTTGCACCAGGCTTGAAATTAAAAGAAAAGTTCAGTCGCCATTTTGCAACTTGATATGCAAATATAGTTGCAAGTTCACGAATTTTAGTTGCAAAAATCCAGTGGTTTAACAAACAAAAATATGAGCCTGCAATACATATGAATAAGAGACTGCTGCAATGGTGGCCGATCATGGTAATGGTGTTGCGTGCACAACATTGCGGATGAATTAGGTACAATTTTACCCTACATCTTCAAATGTCTATGATAACCAAGGCACATGACAATATATTTTTTCATTTCTTTATTTATTTTGGCAAAAATAGTGGCAAAGTAGCAACTGCTGGCTTTTTTATTCTACTCGCAAATTTGCGACTCCTTGGGAAGTTTTAGTCGCAAACATAAAAATTAAGTCGCAAATGCAACTGTATTGGTCACAATTTTGAACCCTGTGAACAGTCAAGAGCTTCTTAAGTTTGTGATCATTTCCTTTACTCTCCTAACCTTAATGTTTGATTTAAGGGTGATAAAGTAAGGAGAAATTAGATGTTAGTCACTTTTAGGAGTCAAAGATAAAAATTTGTCCCTGTAGAGATACTGAAATTTGATTTTTTCAGTCATATTCTTCTAAATAGAGGGATATGACAGGAGGTTACAAAGCACGCTAAGTTTAAACTCTTTATGGTTTAAATTCTCATAAAAGACTGATCTAAAAGATTTTGAGACTTTGTAAAATAATTTTTTGATTGATTATCTATAACCCAACCACCATATTGCACATGAGACTGTGTAAAGTAACCTTCCAATAAATTTCCAAATCTATTCTGTCCAGACATGCACCAGACCCTTCAGCAGCTTGTGCTTTTGATGCTTAAATTACAGAGGTTTCAACAAAAGCCTTATGACAACCACCTTAGCCTGAGAAAAGCAGCCATCCTTTCGCTCTCTTTGTTTCCCCACAGGAAAACGAAGGGAGCGAAAGGATGGCTGCTTTTCTCAGGCTACATCCACCTGCGCACCCACTCCTATCTGTTTAGCCTGAATTTAGGCTCTTGTAATTTTCAGGCACTGCCAAGGGACAGTTCCCCTTTACACCATCAGAGCTGCTTGTGGAAAAAGGTCTTAACACCCCTAAATTGAAGGCTGTCCAATTAATGCATCAAGCCATCTTCTTCCTATACCGGTTAGAACTCAGTGTGTGTGTGTGTGTGTCACAGCTGATAAATGGTTCATTTCTTTTCATATCAACAAATCATTTCAGTAACAGTGAAAGTGGTGATCGACCCACAAAGTTCTTCAAATGGTTACCAGAAATAAAATTTTGGATCCCACAAGAAAATAGAAGATATTTTCCTTTGGAGATTAACACAACATGTCATGGCTTGAGGATTAGGTCACAAGCTTGGCACGTGCACTAGGAATAGAAAAAAATAGCGAAACAAGGTGCTGTTGTTTTTCAATGAACTGGCCACTGCTATAGAGTTCCTTATAATCCATTCAATCATATAATATTGCGACTACCAAAATAACTTGGATTTAACTCGCATCATGCATATTTGTGGGGTCTGACAAAGGGCTAATGCTCGAAACGTCAGCTTTTTAACTCTTTACTCTGGCCAATTTACAATTTCAACTTAGTTGATGTTACCAAATTACCTTGTTACCTCCACCGACGCAGCACCACAGGTTCTTTAGAAACTTACCCCCTTTATTTATGGGGCGTTTTTCTTTAGAGGAAATAATTATTTCAACTGATACCTCAATTCTTTGATTTAATATCTCTAAGTCTTTGTTTACAGGTGGCCAAAACAGTTGCAGCTTAGAGCACTGAATAAGCAATAAACAAAGTAAAAATCCATTACCAAGAGGATATGTTTTCCAAGATGATATATTTTCTTCTTTTCAGCCTAGAACTTCATCACAGTAAAACTTTTGTTTTTGAAGAATTTCTGCAAATTTACATCCAAATGCCTCATTTTAAAATACAACTCTGTAGTTTTCTTCTCCATTGAAAATTCCTGGACATGTGCAGTCATACAGACTTAAAAATCACACCTCCATGTAATGATACAATGTGTCCAAACAAACCATTGAAGCAGTCACTGTTACCATAGGACAGTTCCAAAGAACCTTGGGCTCCCAACTCCAGAATGACAGAATTCCAAAGTCTTAAACATGATCTTGCATACCTTCTCCTTTCAATTCCCATTCACAGCATTGATTTTTTTTAACAGATACACTGAATGTGGTACATTACACATTCATAAACAATTATCATGCCATTCCAGTTTCTTATGGTTGTTGTTGTTGCCCTTTTTTTTTCTTTTTATTTTTTCTTTTTTTTAAAAAGTGCTATTTAAGCAAACAGAACAAAGTGTACCCACAGTTGGTTAAGACACAATCTCCTAGAAAATCCCATACTACTCTGTTATGTTGTCAATAAGTCACCATCTTTTGTATCTTCAAGGTTTGTTGTAACTAATGCTTCCCTCTGAAGTCTGACTTTGTCCATCCACGGTTTACAGATTTGAAAGCCTGCTGCTGTTAGTACTAGAACACCACCCCTGGGAAAACATGTAAATGGTAGTTTAGTAGTAATCAGTTAATGCTACAGCTAAAATATTATCAAGGTTGTCATTAGAAGCTGGTAGGCCATAGAGTTTTTCGAGGGCTGACAGACCATTTTTGCACTGACTACTTTCTACATGGTGATCAAAAATAGAAAATAAATAATTTTGCATGGACTCTAACGACAAGTCTTGGTAAAAAAGGTTTCTAAAAATTTGCCCCAGAATGCTGGAAGTCTTGTCTCTGAGAGTTTCAAATCCTATCTTTTTCCAGTTGAGCATGACTCAGACCCCTCCAGAGGCGCACATATTGCTTTGCTCAGTGGCCTGCTTGTTATGCAAGCATTATTCACTGAAAAGGGTTCAATAAAACAAATTTCAAGGACATTTCCAGGACTTTTCCAGGACTCAGATTGACTTTTCTAAGACTCCAAATTTCACCT